AAAACTTTTCAGCAATGCTTTAACCATGGCAGTGCAAGGAGCTCCTGTTTCTGCTCAGATGTTGTTTCTGAGCAGCAGCACGTGCAGAATGTGTTGGGGACTGGTTTTTAATGGAAAAAAAATGTTTCTGATGGGTCAAAAAGCCTGGTCATCTCCCACCAGGCAGTTATGAGGTGCCTCTTGGCTTATTTTCTGGACCAGAGTGCAGGTACAAAAATAAAGGGATGATGCTGGGGCTGGCTGCTCTCCCTGCTTCCTTTTACCGGGTTTTTGGCTTGGAATAACTGGTTGGATTTTATTTTTTTAACAAAAAAAGCAAGTTTTAACAAAAAAAAAAAMAAAGGAAGCTAAAAGTTTGGGGTTTTTTTTTTAAGCAGGGAAAAGCTGCTTGAAAAAAGAAATGAAAATAAAACTTTTCAGCAGTGCTTTAACCATGGCAGTGCAAGGAGCTCCTGTTTCTGCTCTGATTCAGTTTCTGAGCAGCAGCACGTTCAGAATGTGTTGGGGACTGGTTTTTAATGGAAAAAAAAATGTTTGTGATGGATCAGAGAGCCTGGTCATCTCCCACCAGGCAGTTATGAGGTGCCTCTTGGCTTATTTTCTGGACAAGAGTGCAGGTACAAAAATAAAGGGATGATGCTGGGACTGGCTGCTCTCCCTGCTGCCCTTTAAGGGGCTTTCGGCTTGGAATAACTGGTTGGATTTTATTTTTTTTAACCAAAAAAACCCCAAGTTTTATTTCTGCATTTTGGTTGTTCAGTGTTAAAAGTAGTTCCTCAACTGTAGCACAGTATTCTCTCTTATCCCAAGTTTTAAAAAAAAAAAAAAAAAAACCCAAGGAAGTTAAAAGTTTGGGTTTTTTTTTAAGCAGGGAAAAGCTGCTTGAAAAAAAGGTAAATTAAACATTTCAGCAATGCTTTAACCATGGCAGTGCAAGGAGCTCCTGTTTCTGCTCTGATGTTGTTTCTGAGCAGCAGCACGTGCAGAATGTGTTGGGAACTGGTTTTTAATGGAAAAAAAATGTTTCTGATGGATCAAAAAGCCTGGTTGTCTCCCACCAGGCAGTTATGAGGTGCCTCTTGGCTTATTTTCTCAACAAGAGTACAGGTACAAAAATAAAGAGATGATGCTGGGGCTGGCTGCTCTCCCTGCTGCCTTTTACCGGATTTTTGGGACGGTGTCTTGGTTGGATTTTTTTTTTTTTTTAACAAAAAAAACCCCAAGGAAGTTAAAAGTTTAGGTTTTTTTTTAAGCAGGGAAAAGCTGCTTGAAAAAATAGAAAATAAAACTTTTCAGCAATGCTTTAACCATGGCAGTGCAAGGAGCTCCCTGTTGCTGCATTTCTGCTCAGATGTTGTTTCTGAGCAGCAGCACATTCAGAATGTGTTTGGGACTGGTTTTTAATGGAAATAAAAATGTTTCTGATGGATCAAAGAGCCTGAGAGGGATGGCAGGAGTGCCCCATCCCTGGCATGGCACTCACGAGCAGCACCAGAGCTTAATCAAACTTTTAATGAAGTTAATGAACTTCTGAAAGCTCGATAAACTTTCCCTGGAGTTGTGAATAAATCTCCTGTGGGTCTGTGGCAGCTTTTCATGCAGTTCTTTCCCACCCCTGAGCTGCTGCAGAGGATTCCCCTGGCTGGAATGAGGGAATTGTTTGGGTTGGAAAAGCCCTTTTAGGGGATTGAGGCCAAATTTTAACCCAGCAGTGCCAAATGCTGGAGAGCCCTGAGCCAGCAGGATGTGATCACCCACACTGGGCTTCTCTTGCATTTCCAAATCCAAATTCCGATTTCTGTGTTTCACTGCTTCATTTCCAACTCCAAATTCAGATTTTCCCACTCCAGATTCTGATTTTTGTCCCACTGCTCATTTCTAACCCCAAATTCTGATTTCTCTCTCACTGCTGTCATTCCCAACTCTAAATTCAGATTTTCTTACTCCAAATTCAGATTTTCCAACTTCAAATTCTGATTTCTCTCTCACTGCTATCATTTCCGGCCCTAAATTCAGATTTTCCAACTCCACATTCTGATTTCTCTCTCACTGCTGTCATTTCCAACTCCAAATTCAGATTTTCCCACTCCAGATTCTGATTTTTGTCCCACTGCTCATTTCTAACCCCAGATTCTGATTTCTGAGTCTCACTGCTCTCATTTCCAACCCCAAATTCAGATTTTCCAACTCCAAATTCAGATTTCCGTGTCTCACTGCTGTCCAGCCCTAAATTCAGATTTTCCAACTCCAGATTCTGATTTCTCTCTCACTGCTGTCATTTCCAACTCCAGATTCTGATTTCTGTGTCTCACTGCTGTAATTTCCAACTCTAAATTCAGATTTTCTAACTCCAGAATCAGATTTTCCCACTCCAAATTCAGATTTTCTAACTCCAGAATCAGATTTTCCCACTTCAAATTCTGATTTCTGTGTCTCACTGCTGTCATTTCCAACTCCAAATTCTGATTTCTCTCTCACTGCTGTCATTTCCAGCTCCAAATTCTGATTTTTGTCTCGCTGCTGTCATTTCCAACTCCAGATTCTGATTTCTGTGTCTCACTGCTGTCATTTCCAACTCCAAATTCAGATTTCTGAGTCTCACTGCTGTAATTTCCAACTCCAGATTCTGATTTCTCTCTCACTGCTGTAATTTCCAGCTCTAAATTCAGATTTCTGTGTCTCATTGCTGTAATTTCCAGCCCTAAATTCAGATTTTCCCACTCCAAATTCAGATTTTCCAACCCCAAATTCAGATTTTCTAACTCCAAATTCAGATTTTCCCACTCCAAATTCAGATTTTCTAACTCTAAATTCAGATTTTCCAACCCCAAATTCAGATTTTCTAACTCCAAATTCACATTTTTCCACTCCAAATTCAGATTTTCCCCCTCCAGACCCCGATTTCTGTGTCTCACTGAATTCATTCATGGCTGCAGCTCTGGGTNGTGAATAAATCTCCTGTGGGTCTGTGGCAGCTTTTCATGCAGTTCTTTCCCACCCCTGAGCTGCTGCAGAGGATTCCCCTGGCTGGAATGAGGGAATTGTTTGGGTTGGAAAAGCCCTTTTAGGGGATTGAGGCCAAATTTTAACCCAGCAGTGCCAAATGCTGGAGAGCCCTGAGCCAGCAGGATGTGATCACCCAGACTGGGCTTCTCTTGCATTTCCAAATCCAAATTCTCATTTCTGTGTCTCACTGCTTTATTTCCAACTCTAAATTCAGATTTTCTAACTCCAAATTCAGATTTTCCCACTCCAAATTCTGATTTCTCTCTCACTGCTGTCATTTCCAACTCCAAATTCAGATTTTCCCCCTCCAAATTCTGATTTCTCTCTCACTGCTGTCATTTCCAGCTCCAAGTTCTGATTTCTGTGTCTCACTGCTGTAATTTCCAGCCCTAAATTCAGATTTTCCAAATCCAGATTCTGATTTCTCTCTCACTGCTGTCATTTCCAACTCCAAATTCAGATTTTCTAATTCCAAATTCAGATTTTCCAACTCCAAATTCTGATTTCTCTCTCACTGCTCTCATTTCCAACTCCAAATTCAGATCTTCCCCCTCCAAATTCTGATTTCTGGGTCTCACTGCTATAATTTCCAACTCCAGATTCTGATTTGTCTCTCACTGCTGTCATTTCCAGCTCCAAATTCTGATTTCTGTGTCTCACTGCTTAATTTCCAGCCCTAAATTCAGATTTTCCAACTCCAAATTCTGATTTCTCTCTCACTGCTGTCATTTCCGGCCCTAAATTCAGATTTGTGTGTCTCGCTGCTGTCATTTCCAACTCCAAATTCTGATTTTCCCACTCCAAATTCAGATTTTTCAACTTCAAATTCTGATTTCTCTCTCACTGCTATAATTTCCAACTCCAAATTCTGATTTCTGTGTCTCACTGCTGTAATTTCCAGCCCTAAATTCAGATTTTCCCACTCCAAATTCAGATTTTCTAACTCCAAATTCAGATTTTCCCCCCTCCAAACCCTGATTTCTGTGTCTCACTGAATTCATTCATGGCTGCAGCTCTGGGTGCCACCCCAGCTCTCACTCCCAGCCGCCCTCCAGGACAATTTCCCGTCACTCCTGGAATAATTTGGGTTAAAAGGASCTTTAAAAGGGTTTGGTCCAAGCCTTTGGTGATGGGTGGGGACATTCCCAGATGGGTGGGGAGGGGACAGGGGGMTTGTGACATCTCAGGTGACCCCATAACACCCCCTGTGCCCCAGATGAGCTGCCCTACCTGCGCTGCCCCCTGCACACCATTCTCAAGCTCACTCCCGTTGCCTACGGTAAAAAACTGATTTATTTGGGGTTTTTATTTGAATTTTGGTCCTGGTTTGCATGTGGGGATGGGATGGGGTGGGATCCATGGGATGGGATGGGATGGGATGGGATCCATGTTATAGGATTTGGGATGGGGTCAATGGGATGGGATCCATGGGATGGGTTTGTGGCCCCATGTGGCAGCACTGACCATGCTGGAAAAGCTCCTGATCAGATACAAACAGGTGATTTCCTGGTTAACATGGCAAACTTTGCCCCAAAAAGGGTTCTGGAGGGTTGGGGGAGCAGTGGGAGGGCAGATTTGGAGGGGTGGGGGGTTCTCCTCTGCCCTCTCCTTTAAATAATTTAATTTTCCCTGTGGATGAGGAAGGCTCAGCCTCCAAACTCGGGGTGCAATCACTAAAAATGTAATTTCTGTGCAGCCCAAATATCCCAGAGCCACAAAGTGAAGTGTGAAATCCTCTTGGTGGGGTGAACTGTGTRTTTGTGAGCTGCTTTATTTTTGATAAATAAAATAATACATTAATTCCTGTTCACTTCCCATAATTTTTATAATAATTTAGTGATTTAAACTCTCTTTTTTTTTTTTGGCCAAGGCTGCAAAGTGGAGACAGTTGCCCTGAATGTGGAAGCAGTGAACACCCACCGGGACAAACCCTCCCTGAACTCAGTGAGTTTTGCTCCAACACCTCTGATTTTATCAAAAATAACTCCCAAAACCCTCTTAAACCTTTGCTAGAAATGGCTGATGAGTGAGGATTCTCTTCAGAAATAACCCCCAAAACCAGAATTAACTCTAGGTTGAATTAGTACTTCGCAGGCTGGGGGAGGAATATTTTTCAGAGCTTTTGTGGGCAAATTTAGGGCWCAGATTTTAAATTCCAGGTCTCGTTCTCAGTTTTCAGTGCCGTGTTTGTTGTTGGTGCTCGTTGATAATTTCARAAATACCTTGCAAAGGGTTTTAAGTGGATTTTTCTCCTTGTCTTGATGTGTTTTTCTCTTTTTGAAACCCTCTCCCTGGGTTATTTAAATACCTGTTCAGCACYCACCTGCTAAATCTGGGGAAGCTGCTGCTGTTGGAGGTTTTTGCTTTTGCAAACCCAAAGGTTTTGGTCTTTAAAGGGATTGGTCTGTCAGGGAAAACCTCATAAATTACTGCTAATTAACTCCCCCAATTAGCAAAAACCAGCTCATGGAAGTCTGATTTTAGGTGGTTTTGGTACATTTGGGCTTTAACTGCCTCTTGTTGTATTTTATTAAGATTTTTTGGGCTGGAATGGGGTCATTTCTTTGTGCTGAAGGAGCTGGGAACTTGCTAGAGGGTTTGTGGGGCTGTAAAATCCCAAAATCAGGATATTTGGCACAGTTTGGTGACTTCCAGCCCATCCCTGCTCAYGGCAGGGGTTGGATTCGGTGATTCCAAGGTCCTTCCCACCCAAAYYTCTCTGGGATTTCTCCCTTTCCCAACTTTTCTGTGATTCTGCATGGACATCGCTGCACCACTGGAGCTGTTTCTGTTCTTTGCTTTGCTTGGGTAACACTGCTGCTTTGGGGCAGAGAAAGGGATGAAGGGAGAGTTTTCTCTTTGCTTATTTTTTCCCTAAATTGATTGAAGAAGGGAGAGTTTTCTCTTTATTTTCTTTTCCCCAAAATTGATTGAAGAAGGAAGAATTTTACTCTTTGTTTCTTTTCTTTTCCCCCTAAATTGATTTGAAGAAGGGAAAGTTTTACTCTTTGTTTTTTTTCTTTTCCCCCTAAATTGATCAGAAGAAAGAAGAATTTTCTCTTTGTTTATTTTCTTTTCCCCAAAAATTGATTGGAAGAAGGGAGAGTTTTACTCTTTGTTTATTTTCTTTTCCCCCAAAATTGATTGGAAGAAGGGAGAGTTTTCTTTTTGTTTATTTTTTTCTCCCCCTAAATGAATTGGAAGAAGGAAGAGTTTTCTCTTTGCTTATTTTCTTTTCCCCCTAAATTGATCAGAAGAAAGAAGAATTTTCTTTGTTTTCTTTTCTCCCTAAATTGATTGGAAGAAAGAAGAGTTTTCTCTTTCTTTATTTTCTTTTCCTCCTAAATTGATCGGAAAAAGGAAGAATTTTTTCTTTGTTTATTTTCCCCCTAAATTGATTGCAAAAGGGAGAGTTTTCTCTGCTTATTTTCTTTTCCCCAAAATTGATTGAAGAAGGAAGAATTTTACTCTTTGTTTATTTTCTTTTCCCCCAAAATTGATTGAAAGAAGGGAAAGTTTTCTTTTTTTTATTTTCTTCTCCCCCTAAATGGATTGGAAGAAGGAAGGATTTTCTCTTTGTCTCTTTTCTTTTCTCCCTAAATTGATCAGAAAAAGAAGAATTTACTCTTTCTTTGTTTTCTTTTCCCCCTAAATTGATCAGAAGAAAGAAGAATTTTCTCTTTGCTTATTTTCTTTTCCCCCAAAATTGACCAGAAGAAGGAAGAGTTTTCTCTTTCTTTATTTTCTTTTCCTCCTAAATTGATCGGAAAAAGGAAGAATTTTCTCTTTGTTTATTTTCTTTTCCCCCTAAATTGATCAGAAGAAAGAAGAGTTTTCTCTTTATTTTCTTTTCCCCCTACATTGATCGGAAGAAGGAAGAATTTTACTCTTTATTTTCCCCCTAAACCGATTGAAGAAGGGAAAGTTTTCTTTTTCTTTATTTTCTTTTCCCCTCAATTGACTGAAGAAGGGAGAGTTTTCTTTTTGTTTATTTTCTTTTCCCCCTAAATTGATCAGAAGAAGGAAGAATTTTCTCTTTGTTTATTTTCCCCCTAAACTGGTAGAAGAAGGGAGAGTTTTCTTTTTGTTTATTTTCTTTTCCCTCTACATTGATCGGAAAAGGGAAGAATTTTTTCTTTGTTTATTTTCCCCCTAAATTGATTGAAGAAGGGAGAGTTTTCCCTTGGTTTATTTTCTTCTCCCCCTCAATTGACTGAAGAAGGGAGAATTTTCTTTTGGTTTATTTTCCCCCTAAATTGATTGAAGAAGGGAAAGTTTTTCT